CACACACACAAGCTTTGTGATAAGTCAAAGTTCATTAAAATTGTGATTACAGTCATCAGATTGCAAAGCACTGCATGAATTTATAACTTTCTGGCCCCATTTACATGAGACGTTTACTATGTAGTAGCTAGTTATGACTGTGCAGTAGTGTTGCGTGGCATGAACTGTGACATGATGCTACTGCACACTAATAACAAGCTACCACCATGCAGTCAGCATCATCAGGAAGCCACGTGGGGATACTACTGCGCAGTAATGCCGGTTTTTGCATAGTCATTCAGTACTTGGGTATGCAAATACTAAATGACTGCGCAGTAACAACTGCACAGTCAGCATCTCGTGTAGATGTGGCCTTTTGCTACTTTACTACACTTGGAGACTGGAATTCACTATAAGCAGGCCCAGTTTACCTATATACAGAAGTAACAAGCACCTTTTACTTAAGCTATCCTCACTAATTGAATATGAAACTTGCAGCCACTGCTAAAACCAGAGGTTATTCTTGTAAAATGTAAATGGTGCTTACATTCGCGGAGTGCATGTCTGCATACACCAGAGCTAAATTTGGCCTATTATCACTTTCCAGATAAGTAAACAAAAACAAATTATGATTTGTTCGAGACAGTCCACAGTAGGGGCAGGATTATTACACAGATGTTCCTGGCTTCTAGGCTATGCACATTGTATTAAATCAAATATAAACAAATTATTTGGTGGGGAAAAAAAAAATTTAAAATATTCTAGATCAGTGCTATTTACTTCTGAGTTCTTGGTATTACTTGAAAAATGCTCTGAGGAAGGATTCAGGTATATCTGGTACATGCTGTTATACATCTAGTATATTTTGTATCTGGTGTATACCTGGTATATCAATTAAACAGCAATTCTATAGGAAACTATTGCTGGAGCTTGAAGTTCAGGAACCGACCTATAGCTTAAAAAATCTGGAAATTTTGAGGCCATTAGATTTGCATACTGATGGTGTTGTGTTTGCAACAATAGTAGGAATTAGAAATAAAAGTAAGAGGGTATGTGACAAACTCGAAACCTGTTCAGCTTGAGGAAAACTTCAGCAACAATGGTATGTAGAAAAGCTGAAACTTCTGTATGGACAGGTGAGATTTAGCTCACATCATTTGTGTGATAAGAGAAGCAGGAATTGCTAGTCAAAAAAAGAATGTCTAGTCAAGACAATGCTTGATCTAGGATTTCCAAATAAAATACTGAAAAGGACCTTTTCTGTGGTCTGGATCTTCATACCTTAACACTTGTAAAGAAAGGCTCTGTGGTAATGGGATACAGAGCCTTTTGTTTCTTGCCTGCTGGATCAAGTCCAGTCCAAGTTAGTAGCGGATAGAAGTCATTAACTGATGATGGCCCTCTCATGGCCTATATAAAGTGAACTGATGCTGGGATCAGTCCACTTTTTAGGAGACAGCTATCCGTGTAACAAACACAGCGTAGATGCCAGTAAGTGAACAGACACAGGGACCAAACTATTCTCTATTCTTTAAACCTGGGATGTCATGGGGAGGTCTGTAAAATCTGCACGTCTTTGCCAGTTCTGTATGGATAAATACAAAGCTTCAGAATTTAATTAAGTCAGTCCTGCCTTATTCACCCTAAATTCATTTGGAAACGTTCTAGCACCTCAAATTGACCTCTTTTCAAACTGGATGCATATAAAAGCAAGTTATTTATTTATTTATTTATTTTACCAAATCTATGCCCCAGTCATAGGATCCAAGAACTGGAAAGGACCTCAAGGGTCACTTGGACCAACCCCAATCAGAAATTTGAACATATCCAATTCTGTGAAGAGCAGCTTTTAAAACCGATTAGTCTCTCCCTTTAAATATCGCAGCCCCAAACCTTTAAATAGAAAGTGACATAACTGATTTTCACTAACCAAAATGAATGAGGGTATATATACTGGAGTTAGTATAATATATGAAAAGAAATGTGTGTGTTGGGGGAAGGGGGTTGCAATATATGATTTAGGTGAATAACTAAAGCATGTTCTGAAAAATCTATATGAGCATCGTATCAGTTGTATTCCACTTATCTAGGTAGCACAGGTGTCATACACTTACAAATAGCAGCTTCCATGCATTTAATAATTAACCCCGTGGTTTTCTTTTTTCCCCAGAAGAAAATAACTGTCTCCTTTTTTTGCTTAGGTAGCGATTACATCCTGAAGCCACAAGGTGGCAATTCAACTTTAATGTTGATTATTACCATTCTCCTAGAAAATGCAAATCTTAGGTGTGAAAAAACAGCTGTCCCTGTATTCTGTAAGGAGCACAGTGAATTAGACATCACCTTCAGAGAATTTGCTCATAGATTACAGCATCATTTATGTCCCTTACTGCGTTTGCCTACAGTGGCTCATTCCTTTTTCCAGTAAATCCTTCTGCTGCTTCTGCCCAGTGCTTCCAGCAAGGACAAGATGATACAATTCTCAGCAACGGAAGTTTAGGTGAGGTATTAGGAAAAACTCTCTCACTAACAGGGTAGTAAAGCACTGGAATAGGCTCCCCAGAAAGCGTGGTGATTGTGGAATCTCCATCTTTGGAGGTTTTTAAGACCTAGCTAGACAAAGCCTTGGCTGGGATGATCTAGTTGGGGATGTTCCTGCTTTGAGTAGGGAGTTGGACTAGATGACCTCCTGAAGTCCCTTCCAACCCTCATTTTCTGTGATTCTGATTTAGCAGCTGGTGTTTAAATGTCCAGTAGATAGCGCTACTAGCCAGCATTACAGTGCGGCCAAAGTAGAAGGCAGCAACAGGGATTTCAGGGGAAATGAACAATTAAACTCCATGAACTTAAATGACTTGCAGAGCTCATAAAACAGGAATCAGATTTTCAAGGTAAGCGGGTACATTTGGCCCAGCCTGAGCTCAGAAACCCAACCCTGCTACAAACTGTGGCTACTTTTTTGGTGTCCACAAAAACCATCACATACTGTTGTACCTGGGTGGGGTGGAGATTTATTTGCATGGAGCAAATGGATAGATGGTCAGACTGGTATAGATTGTAGGAGTTTTTGCCTTGCTCTGTAGTGGTGAGGCACGGTGACCTACCCAAGACCTCTTGGGCATATATTGATATATTCATCGAAGCAGGACACTGGGTGCCCTGGTTCCCTGGCTTTACCTGTAGCAGGTTAGGGTGCTAGGCCTGTGTTGTGTCAGGGTTGACAGAAGTCTTACATAGTTTAGATTCTGGATTTATGGGATGGTTGGATAGGGATGATCCTGCCTCAGGCAGGAGGTTGGACCAGGTGACCTTTGTAGGTCCCTTCTTGCCCTACTCTCTCAGACTCATCTTGTCGTTTCCCTGCAGTTTCCTGAAAGATAAGCATTAAAACAAAGGGGTAAATGATCAAGTCTTTAACTTGGAGACGATCACGTGCTCCCCAGGCCTCAACATTCAATTTCAATTGCCCTGTGGAAGTGTGAGCAAGTGGAGACATTCATCTGCACCAACAGCTTGGACAGCACCAGAGAGTAAAGCGATTGTTTCCCCCTTGCTCCCCCCCTTGCAGCCCAGCAGCAAATCCCCACCCCAGTGGCAGGTGGACAGTGTTGCTATGAAGGGGAAAAAAAAAAAAAAAGAATCCATTGTCTGAACTCCAAACTGCCACACGCCAGACCTCCGCCATTGTGCGCCCGCTATAGAGATGCAAAGCAGCAGCGTGTGCCATCCACAATCTGCTCCGTGCAGCAGCTCATTACTCATGCAGGCCCAGTGCCCTCCTTGCTCCAGGCTGCGGGGAGCATCTCGGCAGTGGGGCATGGGGGCAGTGAGGAAAAGAAAAGGGGGGAAAAAAAGTAATTAAAAAAGAAAAGAAGAAAACTAACCCCCCCCCCAAAACCCACAAAATAAAATAAAGTCAATGTTAATAAAATAAAATGCAATGACACAAAAGAAAATGAAATGAAACCATACATAAAATAAAATATTATAAATACGATAAAAAACCAAGATGCACAGAAATAAAATAAATAAAATAAACTATTAAAAATAACTAAAATAAGCACTACTAAAAATAGTCATAAAGTAAACAATGAAATAATCAAAATGAAACAATGCAATAATAAAATGAAAAATCAAAATAAAAGTAACAAAATATAACAATGCAAGAATCAAAATGAAATAAGAAAGAAAAAGAATGAAATAATCAAAAGGTCAATAAGATAAACACAAAAAAATAAGACGATAAAATAAACAAAATAAAAAACAAAGAAAATAATGTCAATAACTAAAAATCAAATAAGCAGCGTGCAAAGGAAAGGGGCAACACCCCCCTCCCCCCGATTCCTGTGTGTGGTGAAGCGCAGGCCCCTCTCCCCGGCCGTGCAGCACGGCGAAATGAAATAATCAAAAGGTCAATAAGATAAACACAAAAAAATAAGACGATAAAATAAACAAAATAAAAAACAAAGAAAATAATGTCAATAACTAAAAATCAAATAAGCAGCGTGCAAAGGAAAGGGGCAACACCCCCCTCCCCCCGATTCCTGTGTGTGGTGAAGCGCAGGCCCCTCTCCCCGGCCGTGCAGCACGGCGAGCCGCGTGCAGGGTGCAGCTGGCCGGGCGGG